AATTAATCGAGGATTATAAAAAATGAAACGAAAAATTTATTTGGTACAAAATTCGAACTTTTAAGTTAAATGAATTTATAAATTTTCGTTATAAAAAATGATTTGCCGTTTGTAATGCTAATTGATTAGTAATTCTAACTTTTAATAATTAATTTAAATGAATGATAAAAGTAAAACGAAAAAGTATTCAAGTGATTTTGATCAATTCGATATTAAAATATCGAATTGTAAAGGTAGGATTTAGACATTTCGATTTTTTTAGAGAGGATTCGATGTGGGCATAAAACTACAGTAACCAAAGGGAGTTTCGTGACATATTTCATTGGAAATAGACGCATCAGCAATGCATGACAAAGATTTAAAAAGGATAAAAAATATAACGACCCTCTCAGCTGATGCACCAGTAAATAATTTTTATTATTTTGTTACACAAAGTTTGAATTTTTTGAGGAAACTTTTGAGTAGTGAGCAAATTATATCTCTCTTTCATATTGAGGCAATTATATAAAAACTAATAAAACTAATAAAAAAGAAACATCGATATGAATTAGAATGTATGCAATAAAACATGAACATTACTTTTCTTTGATACTTGATTGCTTCTTATTCTTTCTATGTTCATCAGGAAAAAGTACAAAATTTCTGTGTCGAACTTACCATACAGAAACACACAAGAGAACAGACCAAGAACGAATCCTGACCAAAATTTTTGGGCAAGCTGAAAGTTAAAATAAGAATAATAGGTTTATCTCTAGCACTAAACAATAGGCAGAAACGTTATTTGGTGTAAATAAAAAAACATGGACTAGTATAAAGTCCATTATATCTACACATGAAATATATTATAATGAAAAAGTATTAAAAATTTATGATAATAATTCAATTTTTGTTGGCCCTTGACACTGGGGGATCAGAGCTTAAGCTCTATTAGTCCCTATGTAGATCCGCCCTGTACACAATATATGTATGCCGACTGGGTACCACAAGCTTTCGATACAATATGGCCGTGTTAAATGCGTCGAATGACGTCATGAGCGCGCACTTGTTTGCCGCGACAAACCTCCACACGAGCAACGATCGGGTTTCCGCAAGCATCGCACTGACTTAAAACGGCTAGCCGCTAACTATCAATGTAAAAGCTAACACAAATGATAAAAGAGTTTACACGTTAGAATAAATTATTATTGGCATATTTGTTCTCTTATAATAAAAAATATATTGACAGTCGAAAGTTTCTATTAAGCATGCTGCGACTATTAATGCCCAGAGAATTCGCCCCTGAAATAGACCTTATTTTGTATCACATTACAGTAGAGCCTCGATTATCCGACCTCCGATTAACCGACACTTCGGTTAACCGACCGTCCTAGTCGGCAAATTTCAAATGTCTGCTAGTGATGTGGCGCTACAATATTTGGCTATGTCTTGGCTACTTTAATATTATTTTTACGTGTTTTAGCTGGCAACACTGGCTCGACCATGAAAGGGAGCCAGTATTTAAACGAGTCTTAATTTTCTAATTTTTAACGATACAATAGCGACGATTATTATTTTTAAAAATTCTTGTTAGGCTTAACATCGATGAAAATTCAACGCGAAGTAGGTTAATAGCGATATACTAATATACTAATGTACTAATTACACGGGATATAATAATATACTACAATAATAATGGATTTTTTCATACTTTTCGGTTATCCGACTTTTCAATTATCCGACCAACCCCAGTCCCTAATTGAGTCGGATAATCGAGGCTCTACTGTATTTTTGTACAAAGGGGTAGATATGCATTTCGGGTTATTTGGCCCTCTTCAATTCTTTTTTTGTACAATTATAAATTCTGCATAATAAATTACATTACCAGTACCTTTTTTAATATCACGCATTCTAATTAGAACAAACATGGATCACTTGTAGATCTTTCAGAATTTTAAATTTGCCATTGATCATTTTTCATCTCCGATGCGATACTTTGAATTATGAATCAAGATTCAAATAAATCCGAGAATTAAAATATCAAACTATTGTCAGAGATAAATCACTAAGAATTCACGAACGAATTCAAGCTCGTGATGCAGAAAGAAAACATGTTACAATTTGTTCATTTTAAGATGATGAGTAAAATAACACAAGTCTTTTCTGCAGCATACTAGGGTATGCTTCACCACCCACATGTAACTGTCTCATAGAATAATAGATTATTATTATTTTTCTAATCATCGTGTTTCTCGGTACAGAATTTTTTATAACTCTTTCCGTCCATGGGTATTAATTAATTAAGAGGGACTTTTTCAAGCTAATTGTGAATTTGGCCAAGACTACAATGAAGCGAGCAGGCAGTGAGGGAAGAGGTACCACATATCCAGGGCAGATCACTCCCAATAAATTCTTGAGTCAATACAAATGGTCAACAGGGTTACTCTCTCTGCCCTACGGGCACTTTTTTTTAGGGTTTGGCCTGTCCCATAACAGAGCAGCTGGGTACTGAGAGACGAGACCCAAAATATTCCTGGTATCGTTCAGATTTGATCCCGAGTTCTCCAGAGCGGTATGATGCCTTCTTAGCCGCTCCGGCCTTAATTTAATAGGGGTATTCACGATCCGTAGCTTTTTTTTTCTATACCGGATTTTGTAGCTTTCTCTTAAAGTCATACAAGCGTCGCATCTTTGATCTTGACTTCGTTAAGTATGGTTTCTATAACAAATGCCATCGCCTTAAAGTAAAGCTGCTTTGGAGCAATGTTCGCCGATTATTGACTAGTTTTCGTATTTTTAAACTTACAGAAATGGAGCAAAATAATTTTTTATAAAGACAACGATGTCGACCAATAAAATGCCCGATACAGATAAAACGAGAATTATGCTGTTTCAGTATTGTCAACTGATAGTACTGAAATGTTTTAGGTTTATTACTTTCCTGAAATCGTCTAGTTCACATGCGTGTTCATGATTAACAGCTTTTCTGTAATTCAACTCTATTAAAAACGAAAAAAGCTCCCGTTGTGAATACCCTTAATGTAATTTGATGGAATTTTTGTCTTTCATTTTCATCAGCAATGTATAATATGACATCATTTTAAATTTTGATTGAAAATAAATTATTTCAAAACAGTTATCTATATTCAGAAATTCATATATTTATTGGACTTCAATTTTCAAAAATTGCAGTCCAATAAATATAATTGCAAAAAATTGCAGTTTTCAAATTTTGCAAAATTGCAACCTATAAATTCTCACTGGAGTACTTCCTTTAATCTCGAAAACAGAGTTAGATAGATGAAAGGTCGAGACCAGATATGGAAGGCTTAGGTAGCAGGAGGACCCGATTAACTGTATATGAACTTCTGTTTGGACTGGAAATGTTATTTCAGTTCAAAAATTTCTCCAGAATGCATAACTGCATGGCTCTGTTGTTAACAGGAAAAGTATGATGTACAGGAACAAAACACTACTAAAGTCGCGAGCATTGCGACTACGTCACAATAAATAATTGCTTGCTTTATGTTATTATATTAACAGAATAGGTTTGTATTATATACTTTATTCATTTACATATTCATTAAACTGTAACATTCATATTCTGTATCATCCATATATATATATGGATGATACAGAATATGAATATAAATATATATATATGGATGATACAGTATATATATATATATTTAAAATATACCGATAAAAAATCTAAAATCTATATATAAATACAAACTTATTTTAAATTTTAAGAATCTTAGTCAGACTTACAAATGTTGATTTACATTACAGCAATTTACATTAAGTTTGATTTAATATCAAGCTTAATGTAAATTGCTTTATTGTAATGAAAAGTAATTTTGATATATATATCAAATAAGAATTACATTTCAATAATAAAGCTAAGAATCATATACATGTATATGATTCACATGGATGATTGGCAAATTCATTACAACTGATTACTATGTAGTTTTTGACAAATACATGACAAAGCAAATAAGTTTGTTTAATAAAATCTTGGTATATTAAACCTAACTTAACCTAACCTATCCGTCAAGCTCACAATGGACAGCTGGGTGGTGAGGGATGTGATCCAAGATATCTAAGACAACCACTCCAGAAAATTTCTTGTTTTTTGACCACTTGGATTCAATTCCAGTTCTCTCAGAGCAGCAGATTGATGTAATAACCATTTCAGCCATCTGGCCTTAAGAAAAAAGTCACCCTATATATTCAAATACTTTTAGTAGTTTTTATATTTATCATTAGAAAGAACCACAAGTATATGCATAGTTCAAATATTCATATTGTTTTTTTTTCATATAAACAATTCCATATGTTAAAAGTACTGGAATGTAATGTGTTTACTTTTTATACAATTCAAATTTATCTATTTTGAGCAAATTTAAAGCAATTTTCCATCTTACATTTTCACATTTCTATTAAATTGTAATGTTCTATTTTGAAAACATTTTGGCAAAAAGAAAAAAAAATGTATTTAATTCTACAGAAGTAAAATAAAAAACTATATTCATTTATTGTAGTTAAGATTTTTCAATTAAAAATTGAACAATTGTATCTGAAAACAAAAATCCAAATAATTAAAATGAATACTTATAGAACATTAATAATGTATAAACATGTGTAAACATGTCTTTAATGTATAAACATGATATTTTGAGTTTAAGTGTGCTTAAATATCAAAATATAAATTTATATATACATTCTTTAGAATCTGTTAAAAATTTATTTTATAGTAGAGGAGTTTTGTAAATCAAATTAAAATTTTTGTAGCAAATAATATCACAAACATTTAAAAACTGCTCTAATTTTTTTTATAAATGACCAGCAAAATATTTATTCTATTTCTAAGCTTAAAAAAATTTATATTCTGTATGTATTAGAAAATGATCACATTAAAAACTAATTTAAATATAATATTTATTTATACATATAGTAAATATAAATAAAATACAAATTACAATTTCTCATTTCAAAAAAATTTATAACAATGAAATGTACTATTTGTATAATATGTATATACATATTATTTTTTATTTACAAATAATGTATTAATATGATTAAAATCATCTCTTGCATTCTCTTAATAATTCTTCTACAGATAATTTACCTAATTTTAGTTTTTCACTAACAGTGGGACTGTTTTTAATTGTAAAAACAACTTTTCTTACTGTTCTTCGATAATTCTTATTTATCAATCTTTTGCATAAGTGAAAGATTTGTTTTTCCAACAGATTCACTAATTTGCTGGATTCCTGGATAAAAAAACATATTAATGATTAATAAAGTTATTAATAAAAACTGGTTAATCACCAATATAAATTCAATTATGCATAAAAATGATGATGGTAAAAATGTTTTATATTTCAGGTTACATTACTTGTTTTTCATTGTAAAATATATTTGTGCATTTTTACTTGAATAATTTACAGAATTAAAATTTAACAGAAAATACTTATATCTAAGATATTTATTTAAAATACTATAAATATTATTTTATCTGTTTTCAAATTTAGTAAATTATATTTTCAAAACTACTCATATAAATATTAAATAAAAACTATAAAATAATTGTATATAATATTGTATTGTAACTCATCAATTTTTAAATATAACTTAAAATTAATTTAAAGAATATGTATTTGATTTTATAATTTTTAATTACTTTCATCAATAAAAATGAGGATAGTTTTAATATCAATATAAATGTAATTTGTGTAGCAATTAAATGATATTTTTAAGTATTTGCTTTTCTATCAATATTTGTAGTTCATAAAAAATTGTAAGAATATTTTATTATCTTAAAATTAAATTCAGAGAAAAGTTTGAAACGATTATGCTTAAATTTTAAACTTACTTAAGTATTAAAACATTAAATATTTTCTCTACAATGCAAATCAAATAGTAGATACAGAAACAGATTAACTATACAGTGGATGATCGGTTAACGAACAAATTGGATAATAAACACTTTCATGAAAGATTTTTATGTTCAGTTAACGAACACATGATTGGATAACAAACACCTCACAGAACAAAGACAAGAAGTGACGTAAAATAATGAATACCGATTGGTCTTCTCTTGTCTTCAGGCAACAATTCAAAACTTTTTGGAGCACGGGAGACATCGACATTGATGCTTAACCCGGTATATACTAATCAGATAGTATTCCTCCGAACTTTGAAACTCTCCCTTGTAATTCCAGTTTTTTTATTTTTCTGACAGAAACAATTCTTTTATAGTATTCATGAGACTGTTGGGCGAGCACTTGTTAAGTTTTGCATTGGTTTTTATTTTTGAAAGGCGAGAGTATAATAACAAAGGTGAGCAGAAAATGTCTAATGTTGCTGGGCAGAAAATGTCTAATGTTGCTGGGCAGTATGGCTTGAACAGGTCTACAGTAAACCACAGTTCAATCTTATCTAAGAAAAATACTGTATAATCAAGAAGACCCAAGCAGCTAAAGGAGTAACAAAAATCACATCTGAGAAATAAAGAACATTGAAGAGCTCATAATGGAACCTGAAACAGATCTGACAACAGAACGCCAAGAAACTCTGCGAGATATGTTTTTTTCTGAAAAATAAAATTAATGTCAATATTTGCTATTAAACATTTTTTTGAAGAAGTGGGAGGATGTTGGAACGATGGTCTTAAAATGGCATCCAAACTAGATTGAGGTTAATAGGCTTGGGGATCTCTACAATTACAGTCGACCCCCCTATAACGTACGTTCCTATAACGACAATTCCTATAACGTAGCGAAAAAATTGTAGAAACTTTCGTATAACGTACCTCCTATAACGTCGTTTCGCGAGAAGATTGATAGAGTCTGGACCAATAGTGGATGAGCAGCCAAACTACTTACCTCCGACCCTGCGCCACGCTACGGAGCGGCTAAATTGAGTTTGCTATCGTCTGTTTAGTATTATATATAAATTAGGTATAAATTAGGTACTGTACATATAATTATATATTAATTATATATAAATTAGGTACTGTATATATAATTATATATTAACTTAATTTATTGTAACTTTATTATAATTATATATATGCTTTCTGCCGCCTGGNTCTCTTGATGTGTCTAAATCATCTGTCTAATTTGGTCTACCTCCCCAAATTTTCCATTTCTGTTTTTTCCTTTATTTCTTCATTCCTTGTCCTGTCTCTCTGGTCTTACTCAGCATGCTCCTGAGGAATGTCATTTCTGCTGTCTGGATCTTTGTCTTCTCTTCGTGATGTAGTCCATGCAGCTCCATAAGTCAATACAGTGGGTGATCGGTTAATGCACAGTTCGGACTTTGAACAAATCGGATAACGAACCCTTTCACAAAATATTTTTATGTTTGGACAACGAACACCTCACAGAACAAACACAAGATGTGCCGTAAAATAACCAATACCGTTTGGTTTTCCCTTGTCTTCAGGTAACAATTCAAAACCTTTTGGAGCACAGTTGATATTGACATTGACGCTCAACCCCAATACCGATCAGATAGTATTCTTCCAAACTTTGAAACTCTCCCTTGTAATTCCAACCGTTTATTTTTCTGACAGAAACAATTCTTGTATAGTATTTGCAAGACTGTCAGGCAGGGACTGGTTAATTACTTCTGAAAAATCCTTAAGAAGAGAGAAAAGCAATTTATATTAGACAGATTCTTTAACCACCACAAACAGAAAAACATGACTAATAAAAATGCAAGACTGTGTATATATGTGTTTTTATTATTACATATAAATAAATGTAGTAAGACAGTATATATATTTTTATTTTTTGGGATCTCCAGAATGAATTAATCAAATTCCCATAAAAACCTATGGTAAATCGATAATCAGTTAACAAACAATTCGGATAGTGAACAAAGTCTTGGAATGGATTAAGTTTGTTAACCAATCACCCACCATATTATAAAGTATAAATTAAACCAGCTGTATTAAACGTATGACTGAACAATACTATACATACAAAATCCTGACTTATTTTACACGACAAAGGGAGAATCACTAAAACTAATCTTATGCTAATATTAAACTATCACAAGTACAACTAACAAAAAAAAAAAATTAAAACTAATATTAAGCTAAAGTAGGAGAATAAGGGACAGGAAAGGAAGTGTAGATAATTGGAAAGGAGTACCCAGTATTGGTCTTTGAGGTCTTCGAAATTGGTCCCCTTTATAATGTCCTTAGCAAGGGTCTTACACAAAAAAAGGAACGAATTCTTTTTTTTTTTTTCCTAGTTCAATCACTCTTTGGCAGTTTGGATTCAATAATTCACAGTTAATTATCCTGAATCTATCACAAATATTCTTAGTCCATCTCTGAAACTCTTTGTTTCTTCGGATGCTGCCAAAAATGCACCAGAAGTTTGTCTCACCACCTTCTCACTTCGAATCCGAATCCTGTCTGCCCTCTCCTTTCGTATTCCTCCTCTAAGGGGTTGCACAACCTTCCTTTGTTCTAGGGGATTTTCGATGACCAAATAAGGAAAAGAATTTCGAAAAGGAACATTCCAGAGAAGAAAAACAATAGAACAAAGAAAATGGATGGGGAGAATAGAACGTGGAAGTAATAATAAAACTATAAAATAAAAATAATATATATACAAACACATGGCATACAGCCACATTATTTTACTCTTACTGGGATGGAAAAGATTTTTTAAATGTTTATAAAAGAAGTTACTGATAACAAAAAAGATATTTTTGATATAACTATCATTTATTTCCATAAAGTTGATTGTTTAAAATTAAAAAATTTTTCAACCACATTAAAGTGAATGTGCATAAATGGAGGGATTATGGTACATAATTTCAAGTTTATCTACAAAATGAATGTAAAATATTGTTGTATACAAGGAAAGAGTAAATAAATTTAACTAAAAAAATATATGATATAGTTCTAAAATAAAAATTTTTGAACTCACTTTTTTATTTAGAGATTCAGCAAGTAATCTTTTTGCCACTTCACGAAATTTTTCTGTTTGAATATCACTACGTACTTCTATACTTGGCTTGTTCATTTTACTCAAAATATGGGTTTTCCAATCTTCATATAAATGTTTAGCTTTTTCAGACACTTCTGAATTTGTATGCTTACAAAGCTTGTGAACAAGATGACCTGTAGATAGATTATAATATATATTTTATTTCAATATCAATTATATAAATATGCTATTTATATAACATAACAATATTGTTGCTTAGACATGTGGTGTATCATACTGTGTATATATATGGCCATACTCAACTGGGTGACGGTTAAGAGGGCAATGATCAAGTGGGCACTGGACATCTTAGTGACAAAATAATAGATTGAATATGCACAAAATGCATGAATGATAAATTGTCAAAGAAGAAAGCATATGCTAAGAAATTTAGAAATACTTTAACTCATTTCTTAAAATGATTTGCTCTTATACATATTTATTTTAAAATCATGGTAATTCTGTTACTCATCTTGTTAGGTGAGAAGAAAATATTTCTTCTAATTTTATTTAACGCCTCATAGTCTGAAGTTTCTTAATGAAGTTTTGATTAAAATCATGGTAAGTTCTTTAAAAATAAATTCTTTTGAAGTAAATGGTAGAGAAAATATAACAGAATATTTACATGGTATTCCACATAACTATAATATGAATTAATAAATTTAAAATAAAAACATTCTTTTGAATTTCATATACTTTTTGTTTTAATGTAAAGTATATATTAATATGTAACATGTGTAAATATTAAATCACTAAAAAGTAATAAGATATAACTATAATGCAGTTGTTGCTCTTCCTATGCGTCTTGGCAAAGGTGAATAATTTAGGTATGTCAGGAGACTCCATGATTATATAAGTCCTTCATACTCAGCCCAATGGCAAGCTTTGCATTGGCAAAATGCTTAATCCTTGAATGCATCTTATCCACCCAGTTCCCTTCAAGCTCTGAGTTAAGGAGAACTATGGATGGATTAGATACAACAACATTGAGTTTGACCTTCTCAGCCCTAACCTGTTGGTCAGGGCTGAGAAGGTCAAACTCATGGTTATGATGAAATGTGAAACCTATGACAAGCACCTCACTATAACACAATGCTCAGAGGTTGAAGGGAACTGGGTGGATAAGATGCATTCAAGGATTAAATATTTTGCCAATACAAAGCTTGCCATCAGGCTGGGTATGAGACATAATCATGGAGGCTCCTGACATCCCTAAACTATTTGCCTTTGCCAAGACGCATAAGGAAGGGCAAAAACTGCATCCTGTAGTGAACAAAGCTACAGCACCCACTCATAAATTAGAGAAATCTATACACTATCTATACATACTTGCCACTCACTTGGAATGTTACCAATACAAGATATCTAACCCTGTAGAGCTGTTGGAACAACTTAAATAGATTGCCTCCCCCTTGTATGCTACAGTGTTGGACTTTAGATCATTATATCCATCAATAGAGCTTCCACCATGTTTTTGTGCGAAGTGACTTATTGTTTGAAAAAATAGGAGATAGAACAAAGCACCAGGATATATTAGAATTGGCGCACTTGGTGTGTTATAGTTTGGCATTCCAGTTTAAAGAGATGGTGTACACTCAGAATAGGGGTGTCCCTATGGGCAGTCCATTATCCTGAGACCTCTGAGAAATGGTGGTCAGAATGTTGAAAAGCAGAACCCTACCTAATTTCCTCCCAAATATTCTCCTATATAGGAGATACATTGATGATATAATTGTCTTTTGGAGGAGGAGGCCGGATCTTAAAAGCTTTATACAGGTAATGAATAACAATCCCTATGGACTATTTGTTGAGATTGAACAACACAGTCCAGAGTCCCCTTTTTGGATATAGACATTGTAATTGAGGGATCAAACACACAAACAGCTGTGTATAGAAAACCAACTGCGGTCACAATGTATATTCCAATAGGATCATGTGATCCCTTTTCTTATAAAATAGCTGCTTTCAGGGCATTGGTTATGAGAGCATTCACACACTTCCACCACATAGGTGTTATCATAAGAAATAAAAAATATAGAAGAGATAACCATTGAACATGGCTATCTCTTCTATATACATAAGTTGTGTAAAAGCTACAAACATAAAGCAAGAAGTAACGACTAGTCAGGGGAAAGACCGAATAATAGAAAGGATGATGACAGGATGAGGGTCCCCCATCACATATAACCCACATTTAAAATCAATATATAATGTCATTGCAAGGAAACATGAGATCCATATAGTGTACAGGAGATGCCTGTCCATTTACAGCTTACCAAGGAATGGAAAAGACCATCCAAATCTGGACAGATTACTGGGGATCTACAAGGTCTCAATAAGGAATGGCAGATCTGATAGAGAAATGATATATGTTGGTTCAACCAAAAGATCTTTAGTGGTATGATTAAAGGAGCATCAGTCAAACATACTACACAATAAATGCACAACGGCCCTTTTGACTTATGCGATGGACCCAGACATCACAGCCAACTTTAATGATACACGTATCATCCTCACCACCATGCATCCAGATCACCTCAAAATATTGGAGGCAATAGAAATATTTAAGGCGGGATGCGAATCCACATGCATTGATTTTAAGGAGGAAATGTCGCTTTCTACAGCATGGCAAGTCCTAATGGATGATGATATTTAATTTTATTTATGTTTATAATGTTTTAAATTAAAATCAGTTCGCATTTTGAATCTCAAAGTAGTATATGATCTTTTAACAAATTGGAATGTGTGTGCTTTTGGAATACAAAATCAAATGACTTCTAAAGAAGTTTAAAGACCAGCTTGCAACAGATTTAAGTAAATGACTAAAAAAGAGTCCAGAAGGGGCGTCAAAAACGTTAGCACTAAAGAAATATGTTTTGCTCCGGTTATTTGGTTTGAATTAAGAAAATTTAAATTCTTTACTATTACTATTTGTATCAAAAATGTTAGATTAGATCAGGACAACAATTAGTCTAAACCATAACTTATATCTAGACTTTATTTTCGCTAACAACACGTACTATCTACAACAATAAAAACTAAAAAATTGATTTTATAAATATTTCATATGTTTATAGTATTTTTACAGTAAAAAGATGATTTTCACATTGAAAAAAAAAACAATAAGCAATTTTTAAAGTTGAATATCCTGAATAATTATAAATTGCTTTAATAATTTGTGTCAAAATTCTGGAAAGTCACCAAATTAAAGCAATAAATTTAGTTGAAGTTGTGAAACAATTATAAGCATGATTATAACTAAAACACCACATACTTCATATAAGAAAAGAATGTAAATTCATAAATACATCACATATAGAAGGATTAAATATATGTCAATTATAATAACTGAATTAATTTTTAATGTAATGTATTAAATAACTCAAAATAGATAAATAGTCTGGAATATCCAACTTATTTATGAAGTTGTTTAAATTATTTATATAAAATGTCGATAGAGCGAAATACCAATTTTTGTAGAAATGAGAATTTCTTTAGATGGAGTCTTTTTTGATAATTCCTCCAACGACCTCAACATATTTTCCACTTCTTGATTCTTCCACTCTAAAATTGCTTTATGCCGTAAAATGTCTTCAATTACCACAACTCCCTGTAATGACAATCAATTCAATTTCTATACATTAATATTAAGCTCTTATTTTCATTAACATAAATATGAATTTCAAAAAACCTTTAACGATTCCAATGTTGCCTGCTTCGTCTTTTTCTCGTTAGAATGGTAAGATTGGGACGTCTCCGATCTGGATTTAATCAAATATTTATCCATCTTTCTAACAATAATTAGCTAATGAAAAAACTTAACAAAGATAAACAAAATCATAGGAGCCGCCATTACTGAAATCCTACAGTGTTGCCAGATTAACGAATTCGTTAGAAAAAGCTACTAGAAAGCTGACATTTTAAACTTAAGCCTTTCTCGTCATCAGTGAAGGGCTAATTAGCAAAACTTCCGGGTCGATAGATCAAAGTTCTCGGGGGTTTCTCGTAGAGATATTTTAATTTTATGGCTTCATTTTATGCTTATAAAGATAAAATTACATGGAAAGAAATGAATTTTATTCAAAATGTTACTCAGAATAACAAAAGCACAAATTTTTGCAAATTAAAACTTTTTATAACGATTTTTCTAAACGGCGCGCCGAATGCGAAAGCGTTCGGTTGGCAGCATATTTGATCGGCGGGGCGTTAAGTCGCCGAGCGCCGACAAGACTGTGCTCATCCATCGTCTTATATCTTGATGTAATAATACAGTTATTAAACAAAAGAATTGATATTCAAACAAAAATATCTGAGATGTAAAAAAATTGCGCCAAGTAAAAACTTATGACAATTTAGACTACGGTCAAATTTATTTTATAAGTTTTTCTTTGGCGCTTGGAGGATAAATGTAGAAAACAATAATACAGGTACAAATCTTATGAGACCAAAGGGTCGGCACCAGACCGGTGATGCCTATGTCAGGACTCACACCACTGTGTCTTTTAAGGCAGACACAGAAACCTTGTTGGTTGCGGGTTCGGTTTTGCGTGAGCGGTCGCTTATATGAGCGGTCTGATTCGGGAGATTGGACAACGCACCGAAAGAAGTGCACACTGCAACTTAATTATTAATAAATAATACCCGTTTATTTATATTAACTATTCACATGTATATATAGGATAACAGAGAGTCCTGATATGGCCTTCCTAGGGGTTCCTAGCCGAGAGAGAGAGCTTACATTTTTGCGTAATGCTAAATACCTTGATCAGTCCTTGATCGAAGTCCTGAGGTCTCAAAACGTCCTAATGATGGAGAGCTAGGTTTCAGCTAGGTTGGGTAGAGTTAGGCTCCTTGATGGTACAATTCACTGACAAATGTTCGTTGCTAAGGCGTCTACGGCGGTCGAAGGGATCGGCGATGGAGCTCTCACATCAAAAGGAGGAGGTCGGCGAATTCTCGGTTCAGATGTTCGTCTCTTATTTCGAGGTTCTTTCCCTTGATTTCGATGCCCTTTTTAGTCAATGTTAAGGTTTATGACCAATAGATGAATTT